TCCATTATTTTCTAACAAGGAAAGCCTACATTCACCTTGAACACAGCCTTCTGCCTGGAGGCTTAGTGCCCTCTTCCTGCTGACCTAAATCCCAAACAGCTTTCAAAGCTTAAATCCCATCTCAACTCTTAGGAAGCCTTTCTTCGCCAACAACCCCGAGCCATGTTGTTTTTGCTCTTTAAGGCCCTACTATTCTGGTCAGAACTGGAAACTAACACCTAACTGTTCCCTAATCATGTCATGTGTGTACTTGTGGTTTCCCCGGATTGACTATAAACTTCTTGTGCCCATTTAGCACAGTGCTCAGCTCAAAAAATTTTATTTATTGGTTAGCACATAATAATTTCCTAGTTATACAAGGCCTTGTCATATGAAAAAAAGGACAAGACGTTTTATTGCTCTCACTGTGCCACTTCAGTGCCACATTTCATATGGTGACCAACCCACAATTCAGCAAACATCATGAGTTTTGGGCCTAGGCCAGAAGACAAATAGGACTCAATCACACGCTCAGGCACAGAGCTATGCAGCCAGCTGGTGCTGGGCCCTGCAGCTATAAGGTCAAGACGAGCTGGGGCTGGGGAAGCTGAAGTTTATGGTGGGGCAGAAACCATGAGTTAAGAGGAAGTCGGCTGGTGGAGAGAGATGCACAGAGAGAAGTTATAGGTAGAGAGAGACTGTCTCTAAAAGTTGTCTTGAGTCCTGGCAGCTTTCCAGTTCCCACAGCAGTCCCTGGGCTTGTGCTGTGCTGAATTTCCTACCCTTGGATTTCCATGCGCTTCCCTGTTAGATGCTACGTAACAGCCCCCTAATCCCCGAGCTACCTTGGTTTCCGTTCCCTTGGGAGTCAAAAGACCCTGAATGCGACAGTCATCATTATGAAACAACTGAAGCAAATGACTCTCCAGGCCCTCCTCTCAGATGCTAATAACCACTACTCTGGGGTAATTCCCTTCCCCACTCTATGCTGGAGACCTCCCATCTATGAAACAAGATATCTAAAAGTACGAACTTCCGGCTCCCAATGGTAAATTCCATGGTCAGAATGTTTCTCTTAATACTACACTAACTCTTGTAATACAAGAGTCCCCCATATTATGTGCTATATACTTGACTAAACCATATGATTTTTCCTCAAATACATTCTTCAGATTTACAATATAAATGGATATGTACTAACATAACTACATAATATTAGCAATGTAGATATTATACATTTTTTGGTGACAGTTAACGTCTGAATTTCCCACTAAACCATAAACTCCATGAAAGCAGGGACCATATCTGTTTTTGCTTACCACTTTATATCTAGTGCCTATCATGGTGTCTGGCACTATTAACAGCTTAACAAATATTTGCTGAATGGATTACTGACAGGTATAAAATCCAGTTGCTTAAGCAGCGGACGTGGGGCAGTTATTCCTAAAATCCATCTTAAACATACACAAAAATGGAACTTCTGGGGCCGGCCTGGTGGCGTAGTGGTTAAGTTCGCACACTCCGCTTCAGCGGCCTGGGGTTCACAGGTTCAAATCCCAGGTAGGGACCTACGCACTACTTATCAAGCCATGCTGTGGCAGGCGTCCCACATATAAAGTAGAGGAAGATGGGCATGGATGTTAGCCCAGGGCCAATCTTCCTCAGCAAAGAGAGGAGGATTGGCAACAGATATTAGCTCAGAGCTAATCTTCCTAACCAAAAAAAAAAAAAGGAACTTCTGCTTCTTTTCACTTGCCAAACTTCCCCCCACTCCCCACCCCAACCTGCTCGTCCCCATCTTCCTGAACTCAGTAAATGGCATCATTTTTTACTAAGTTACTCAAAGTAAAAATCTATGAGTGATCTTTAATTTCTCCTTCCCTCACTTCCTACATCAATCCATCAGCAATGCATCTTGAATCTCTCCTCTTCTATCTCTACCACCACTCTACTCTGAGTCACCATTATCTCCTGCTTCAACTGCTGCAAAGAACTTCTGGTCACCCTGCTTTTACTCCCACCCCACTACAATCACTTTTTTTCACTCAGCAGCAGGGTCATCTAAAATATAAATCAAAGCACACATCTCTTACCTAAAAGTCTATTGGTTTTTATCTGTACACAAAATGAAATCTACAATCCTCATGTGGCTTTTTGCAAGGCTCAGCACCCCCCAGCCCTAGCCTGCTCTCCTGTGCACTATGTGGCAACCACACCGACCACCTGCTCCTTCTTGCCTCAGTGCCTGTGCACTGCCTGGTCCCCAGCCCTGTCTTTCCTAAGGACAGCACCATCACAAGCCTTCAGATCTTGGTTCTGAACTTTACCTTCTCAAAGAGGCCTCTCTTGTCATCACTATGCAAAAAACCACTCCCCCTCCACTCACACAATTCTCCATGTTGTCATCTGGTTTCCGTCAAGGCATATTTATTCCTACCAGAAATCATTTTATTTATCTGCTGATTGTCTATCTCTCCTCCACTAGAATGTAAGCTCCTTGAGAGCAGCAACCCTGCACCTAGAACAGCGTCTAACATATAATAAGCACTCAATAAATATTTTTGTGTGTGTGTGAGATCAGCCCTGTGCTAACATCTGTCAATCCTCCTCTTTTTTTTTTTCTGAGCAAGACTGGTCCTGGGCTAACATCCGTGCCCATCTTCCTCCACTTTATATGGGACACCGCCACAGCATGGCTTGCCAAGCAGTGCATCGTGCACGCTCGGGATCCGAACCGGCGAACCCCGGGCCGCCAGAGCGGAGTGCACGCACTTAACCGCTTGCACCACCAGGCCGGCCCCTCAATAAATACTTTTTTTAATAAACAAACCCTGTGGTATCTGTTTTGCTCTTTCAAAAACCACATTTACAAACATATAAAAACCACCTCCTTGACATTGTCTCACTTCTTCTATAAGTGGCACATGGTGAAAAGTATGATTAATGAAAGATTGCTTCAGTGTACGGATATAAGACAGGAACTTTTAGCAGCATACCAGAATAAACTGTTATATCTGGTCTATCACCAATCCCAGCTCTTTCTACAGTGTGGGCCAAGACCCTTCTTTGGGAAGAGAATCTGCTTATTACTTTCCTCCAGATAGGCGCTGCTTTTTCTAACTTAAAATTCATTACATTCTTTTTCAGGATT